CTTGCTCATGATTTTTCTCTCACAATAAATAAACTAAAAAAAACAAAACAAAACACCAATGATTTGTTTTTCCTATCCATGAGCATGGAACGTTTTTCCATTTCTTTATGTCTTCTTCAGTTTCTTTCATAAGCTTTCTGTTGTTTTCAGCGTACAGATCTTTTATCTCTTTGCTGAAATTTATTCCTAAGTATTTTATGGTTTTTGATGCAATTGTAAATGGGACTGATTCTTTGATTTTTCTTTCTGCTACTTCATTATTGGTGTATAGAAATGAAACCGATTTCTGTACGTTGATTTTATATCCTGCAACTTTTTTGAATTTATGTTTCAGTTTTAGCAGTATTTTGGTGTTTTGGGTTTTCCACATAGACTGTCATGTTGTCTGTGAAGAGTGAAAGTTTGATTTCTTCCTTGCTGATTTGGATGCCTTTTATTTCTTTTTGTAGTCTGATTGCTGAGGCTAGGACTTCAACACTATATTGAACAGCCGTGGTGAGACTGTAGACATCTCTGTCATGTTCTTGACCTTAGGGGGAAAGCTCTGTTTTTCCCCATTGAGGATATTAGTTGTGGGTCTTTCGTATATGGCCTTTATGATCCTGAGGTATGTTCCTTCTATCCCTACTTTGTTGAGGGTTTTTATCAAGAAAGGATGCTGTATTTTGTCAAAAATTTTTTTTTTTTTGCATCTACTGAGAGGATAATGTGTTTCTTACCCTTTCTTTTATTACTGTGATGCATCACATTGCAGTCAGTGCAATGTGCAGCCCAGGAATAAATCCCAATTGATCATGGTGAATAATTCTTTTAATGTATCGTTGGATTTGGCTTCCTACTATCTTGTTGAGAGTTTCTGTGTCCATGTTCATCAGGGAGATTGGTCTGTAATTCCCCTTTTTTAGAGTCTTTGTCTGGTTTTGGAATCAAGGTAATGCTGTCACCTCTGTTTACTGTTGAACTGCTGGTCACTACTAGGGGCTTGCCAGTTAGTAAGTCTTGATGGTATCTCTGTCTTCCTGAATGTGGCTGGCAGAAAATCACTCACCTGATTTAGTCTGGCCATATCTGTGTGATTTCTAATTAAACCTGGCTTGTACTCTTCAAGATGACAGAACAATAGAGGCATCTGGGTGGCTTAGTCGGTTGAGTGTCTGACTTCATGGTCATGATCTCATGGTTTGTCAGTTTGAGCCCCACATCGGACACTGTGCTGACAGCTCAGAGACTGGAGCCTGCTTCGGATTCTGTGTCTCCTCTCTCCACCCCTCCCCTGCTCATGCACGCGCGTTCTCTCTCTTTTGCTCTCTCAAAAATAAACATTTAAAAAAAAAAAAAAACTAAAATGACAGATCAAATATTTAAACATTTTTTTAAAATCTGAAAGTAGTCATATAATTTTAAGTATTTAAGCTCATTTGTTTTAAACAGACCTATGGGGGCGCCAGGGTGGCTCAGTTGATTAAGCATCTGACTCTTGATTTCTGCTCAGGTCATGATCTCATGGTTCGTGAGATCCAGGCCCATGTTAGGCTTGTGCTGACAGCACAGAGCCTGCTTGGGATTCTCTCTGCCTCGCTCTCTGCCACTCTCCCCAATATGCTCTCTTTGTCAAAAATTAAAAAATAAATAAATAAGTTTACATATGAAAATATACTTGGGAGTAATGGACATTGAATTCTTGATGAATTTAGAGAAGGGAGGGAGAGAAGGGTAAGGAGGAGTTATACAGGCCCCAGTTTTATATGTAATGTTTTATTTGCCTCATATCTTTTTTTTTTTTTTTAAATATTTTATTTATTTCTAGGAGAGAGAAAGAGAGAGACAGCGTGAGCAGGGGAGGGTCAGAGAGAGAGGGAGTCACAGACTGAAACAGGCTCCAGGTTCTGAGCTGGCAGTCAGCACAGAGCCCGACGTGGGGCTCAAACCTGCGAACCGCGAGATCATGACCTAAGCGAAAGTCGGACGCTTAACCGACTAAGCCACCCAGGCGCCCCATGCCTCATATCTTTTTAAGAAATTAAGCATAAGGTTAGGTGGTGGACATACAGGCATTAAATTTTTTTTAATTGATATGTTTGTATATTTCACAACTATGAAGATTAAGTGCATAAAGTATTTAGTAAAAAATTAACACGATCCTGGTAAAGCTGAGATTCCTTTTTTGGGAGGGTCTAACTACTATTTGTTATTTTATCTTATCTCATCATGATATGTGTACTCTTTTTTAATTTTTATAATGTTTATTTATTTATTTGAAGAGAGAGAAGAGAGAACGTGTGAGCAGGGGAGGGGCAGAGAGAGAGGGAAAGAGAGAAAGAATCCCAAGCAGGCTCTTCCCTGCCTGTTCAGAGCCTGATGCAGGACTCAAACTCATGAACTGTGAGATAATGACCTGAGCTGAAATCAAGAGTCAGATGGGAAGGCTGATCTCACTAATAGGAAAATGTACATTAAAACAAGAGTCAGATGTTCAACCAACTGAGCCACCCAGGCACTCCTCTATTTTTTTTTTTTTTAATGTTTATTTATTTTGAGAGAGAGCACATGCACATGAACGTGGTATAGCAGGGGGAGGGCAGAGAGTAGAGACGGAATCCCAAGCCAGCTTGAAGCCCAACGTGGGGATCAATCTCACAACCATGAAATCATGACCGGAGTGGAAATCAGGAGTTGAATGCTTAACCAGCTGAGCCACCCAGGCACCCTGTACTATACTGTTTTAATTACTAATACTTTGTAATGTAAAAGAAATCTGGAATTGTGATACCTCTTGTTTTAGCTTTTCAAGATTGCTTTGGGTGTTCAAGGTCTTTTGTGGTTCCATACAAAGTTTAGGATTATTTGTTCTAGTTCTGTGAAAACTGCTGTTGTTATTTTGATAGGGATTGCTTTAAATTTGTAGATTGCTTTGGCTAATAGACATTTTAACAATATTTGTTCTTCCAACCCATGAACATGGAGTGTCTTTCAATTTCTTTGTGTCATCTTGAATTTCTTTCATTAGTATTTTACAGTTTTCAGAGTACAGGTCTTTCATTAGGTTCCTTCTTGACTATAGCCTTCAGCCTTTCTTCTTCCCCAGCAGTAACAGCTGTCCTCAGTGTGTTTTTCTACGTCTTTTGTGTTCACAAATACATACCTTAGAAAATGTATGGTGGTGTTTATATTTTAATTTTTAATGTCATCACATTGCACAGGCACACCTTATTTCATTGCACTTCACTTTATTGCACTTTGCAGATAGTGTTATTTTTTTAAACAAATTAAAGGTTTGTAGCAACCTTGTGTTGAGCAGGTCTGTGGTGCCATTTTTCCAATAGCATTTTCTCACTTTGTATCTCTGTGTCACATTTTGGTAATTCTTGCAATATTTCAAACTTTTTCATATTACTGTATTTGTTTTGGTGATCCCTGATCAGTGACCTTGATGTTACTGTCATAATTGTTTGGGGATGCCATGAACCACTCCCTTAGAAGATGGAGAACTTCCTTGATAAATATTGTGTTTCTTCTGACTGCTCAAACAACTGGCTGGTCCTTTGTTTCTCTCCCTCTCCTGGAGTCCCCATTCCCTGAGACACAACAGTATTGAAATTAGGCCAATTAATAACCTTTACAAGGGCCTCTAAGTGTTTAAGTGAAAGGAGGATCCACATCCCTCCCTTTAAATCCAAAGCTAGAGGTGATTAAGCTTAATGAGGAAGGCATGTTGAAAGCCGAGACAGGCCAGAACTAGAGCTCTTGTGCCAAATAGCCAAATTGTGGATGCAAAGGAAAAGTTCTTAAAGAAATTAAGAGTACTACTCCAGTGAACACACAAATGGTAAGAAGTAGATCAGTCTTATTGCTAATAGGGAGAGAGTTTTGTGGTCTGCATAGAAGATCAAACCAGTCCTTTCCCTTAAGCCAAAGCCTAATCCAGAGCAAGGTCCTAACTCTCTTCTATTCTGTGAAGGCTGAGAGAGGTGAAGAAACCGCAGAAGAAAAGTTTGAAGGCAGCAGAGGTTGGGATATAAGGTTTGAGGAAACAAGCCATCCAGTTCTGTCATGTAAAAGCACAAGGAGAAGCAGCAAGCATGTAGAAGCTGCAGCAGGTTATCCAGAAGATCTAGCCAAGATAGTTAATGAAGGTGCTACCCTAAGCTATAGATGGGCAGTGAAAGGTGGTGTCCTGTTTTAACGTGCATTTTTCTAATTATTAGTGAGATCAACCTTTTCATATGTTTATTGACCGTTTATATTTCCTTTTCTGTGAAATGTCTGCTTATGTCTCTTTTTATTTTGGGCTACTATTTCATTATTGCTTTGTAAGATTTCTTTTCTTTTCTTTTTTTTTTATTTATTTCTGAGAGAGAGAGTGAGACAACGTGAGCAGGGTAGGGTCAGAGAGAGAGGGAGATACAGAATCTGAAGTAGGCTCCAGGCTCTCAGCCAGCTATCAGCACAGAGCCTAATGTGGGGCTCGAACCCACGAACCGTGAGATCATGACCTGAGCTGAAGTCGGACGCTTAACTGACTGAGCCACCCAGGCGTCCCAAGATTTCTTTACTCTAGTTTGATACTTTGCTTTATAGTCAGAGGCAACATTGTTCAGAATTTTTATTACTGTACATCCTCTTTGACGTACATTTAAAAATTATAGAATCGGCTTGTCAAGTTAAAGGAGTAATCCTGTTGAGTTTGGTATTGCTTTAATTATTACAGGCTAATTTGGGGAGAGGTATCATGTATTTTACCAACACCATTTGTTTCATGTTTCTCAGCCTAATATGCCTATTCTGAATTAGATCATTTGTTTAATGCTGTTGCTCTGTGATAAAAATTAAAATAGTTTATCTTACCGTCATATCCCCTTTCTTTTGAAATAATTGTTATCTCTTTTAGCATATTTCTTTTCTAAGCATATGTTATCTGAACTGTCATAAAGGACTACTGGTGGGAAGTACAGTAGTGGGTGGGAAAATTCTGTCATCTCTTTTGTGTCTTGTTTTTCTAGCAATCCCTAAAGTGAGACTGGAGACAATCTACATTTGCGGAGTAGATGAGATGAGTACCCAGGATATCTTTTCCTACTTTAAAGAATATCCTCCGGCTCACATTGAATGGTTGGATGATACCTCCTGTAAGTACATGCAAGTTTTTTGTTGAATATGCTTTTGTTTATGACTTTAAGAGTTCTTGCCATCTCAGATGGTGAGTGATTATGGTTCAGACTACTGGTCTGTGTCCTAATGTCTGCCTTCAGCCTAGGAGAGGAAGGTTGCCCATTGATGAGAACCAGAGTGTCTTAGCCACTCTGCCAGATTATATTCCATGAATATTCCATCAGCTCAGTGGTGATGACCAGGGGTCTACGAGGTTGATTGCTCGCATCTGAGTCTTGTGTACATGATTGAGGCCTGATTAACTCCCACAGTTTCCCAACAAAAGGGTGGATCCAACTGTATAGACTTGGGGCTGTATGTTCAGGGCTTTAGATTTTATGCATACACCTTCCCATGTAGTTACTCACAGGTCTGTTTCTGCCTTAGTATCTGAGCTAGAACTAAACTAGAACCCTCTGACACTGTATCAGACCTCTCGCCTCTGCCTACTTTGGAACTTCACCTGCTTGCTCTAACCTGTGAGCTCTCCAACTTGTGAACTTGTTGTAATTCTTACTTGCCACCCCACTCCAAGCCTGGCATGACGTGTGGTAACCACTCTGCCAGCTTCTTGTCTTAACTTACTTCTAGTCTGGCTTTACTTACTACCAGCTTGCTGAACTGCTAGGTAGTACCCTGGATCGCTGCCTGGGTTTCCCAACTGCTTTTTTTTTTTTTTTTTTTTAAATTTTTAATGTTTATTCATTTTTTGAGACAGAGACAGATAGAGCACGAGCAGGGGAGGGACAGAGAGAGAGGGAGACATAGAATCCGAAGCAGGCTCCAGGCTTTGAGCTAGCTGTCAGCACTGAGCCCAATGCGGGGTTCGAACCCACAAACTGCGAGATCATGATCTGAGCTGAAGTCAGTTGCTTAACTGACTGAACCACCCAGGCGCCCCCCAACTGCTTTTTTTAGAAGATGTTGATTCAGGGATACCTGGGTAGCTCAGTTGGTTGAGTGTCTGACTTTGGTTCCGGTCATGATCTCAGGGTTTGTGAGTTTGAGCCCTGTGTCAGGCTTGCTGCTGTCAGTACAGAACCTGCTTTGGATCTTCTGTCTCCCCTCTCTGCCTCTTTCTCTCTCTCTCTCTCTCTCTCTCTCTCAAAAATAAATAAAATATTAAAAAAAAAGCTTTTAAAGATGTTGATTCAGTGTTTTCATTGAAAGAAGGAGAAACATGATTGAGTAGAAGAGTTTTCTCCGTTTTTCCACTTGCTTAACTTACACCATCTAAATCAAAAGTCAGTAAACTTTTTTTTTTTTATAAAGGGCTACTAGACAGTACATATTTTAGGCCTTGCTGGCCATACAGTCTTTGTTTTGTTGTGTCTGTTCAGCTCTGCTGTTGTGGCATGAAAGCAGCCATAGACAGTATGGTACAGAATGAGCCTGGCTGTTTTCCATAGAAATTTTTTATAAAAACATGGGGGATGTGTAGTTTATTGTACATTAATTATACCTATATAAAGCTGGTACTAGTATAAAGAAATAAATGAACAGGTGGTGCGCTGGATTTGGCCTACAGGTTGTAGTTTGCTAACTCCTGGTCTAGTCATTAAAAGTGTAGCTAAAGGATATTAGAGTCAGAGGGACTCTTATTAGATTTACCCAGTTCTGCTAACTCATATTGTACATCAGAACTGAAAAACAGAGAAGGAAAAGTGTTTACCCAAGGCCACATGGCATGTTTGTAACAAAAGTGAGATTCTGCAGACTTTCATTTCCCAACTGAGATGTAAGTGAGATGTAAGGATAACTTTGTTTTGAGAAAGGCTGTTTTAAACAAAATTAAACAGGTTTCTTTTTTCTTTTTTTATGTTTTATTTCTGAGAGAGAGAGAGAGCACGTGAGCAGGGGAGGGTTAGAGAGAGAGGGAGATACAGAATCTGAAATAGGCTCCAGGCTCTGAGCTAGCTGTCAGCACAGAGCCCGACACGGGTCTCGAACCCACGAACTGTGAGATCATGACCTGAGCCGAAGTTGGATGCTTAACTGACTGAGCCACCCAGGTGCCCCTTGGTTTTTTTTTTTTTTTAAATTTTGTTAATGTTTACTTATTTTTGAGAAATAGATTGCAAGTGGGAGGAGGACAGAGAGAGAGAGGGAGACACAGAATAGGAAGGATGGTCCAGGTTCTAAGCTATCAGCACAGAGCTTGACTTAGGGCTTGAACCCATGAGCTGTGAGATCATGACGTGAGTCGAAGTCGGGAAGTTGGACACTTAACTGACTGAGCCACCCAGGTTCCCCAAGAGATTTCTTTTCTACAAGACTTTTCAACACCTTTTTCTTGCTAAATTCTCTTGCTTAAAGAAACAGATTAAGTTACTTACTACAAAGCCAGGTGGCTGTCATGCCTCCATTGTATATATTCCAGGGATGCCACCAGCACTCATACTTTACAATGGGAAACAGTCATTTAGCATGTTCGGGTGACAAGGAAAAGCAGATGGCTTCCCTGTAGGGGACAGTAGTATGAAGGATAATCCAAATTTGTTTGATAGTTATTGTCTTGTCATCCTCATCATCATTCTCATCACTAGAACTGCTAACACTACATAATACTCACAGAGCCAGGCAGGTTTAATACACAGAACCCATTTTCAATGAGTCACTTAGTTTGTGGAACCCTGGTTGGGAATGCAGCTCTAGGCTAATTTCATCAAAGAGGCTTTACGACCCCTTTCTGTCCTTCTTTCATTAGTTGGTTTGTACATTTACTGATGCTGATCTGTAGCTAGATGAGGCCATAGCAATGAACACGTTGCAGTCTCTATTTTTAAAAAACTTACCATTTGGGTGCGATATCATGTTTTATTTTACATTTTGTTTTAGGTAACGTTGTCTGGCTGGATGAAATGACAGCCACACGAGCCCTTATCAATATGAGCTCTTTGCCAGACCTGGATAAGATAAGAAGCAGGGATGCCAATGAGGACAGGTCATCTGAGAAAAGTAAAAAAGGTAACAACACAAAAGAGGGACTTTTGGGCTAAAAGTCCTGTTATTTACACAGTTGGTTCGGGTTTCTGTGCAGAGCATTATATAGCATTTCATTGTCAGTTCTTTCTAAAATAAGCTATGGTAATCCAAAGTGGGAGAAAATCTTGAACTTTTAAATTACATGAGATGGAGTTATTTTAAGGTTCATCTTGTCCCTTGCATTGTATTTAGACAAACAGGAAGACAGTTCAGATGATGATGAGGCTGAAGAAGGAGAAGTGGAAGATGAGAACTCCAGTGATATAGAGGTTAGTAGTAGGGCAAAGATATATACAAAGTTTGAGTGCAAAAACTGCTTAGTGTCTCTTATATAAGGCTTAAAGACTTAGTACGTTGTGTTCTTCCTCTGGCTTCCACTGTTAGACCTTTGGAGGGTGTACCAGGTGCCTGGCCTTTCAGTTCCTGTGGCTGTAATGAATGATTTTTCTTGAGATCTTAGAATTGTACTTATTTATTGAGAAATACTTTGATGTGTTATCTGTCTAATCCGTTAAATTAAGCAAAAACCAGTGATGGAATACTTGCTAATGGAGATGTATTTTATTGAAAATATTAAAGTGTATTCATTTAAAGAACATTTATTGAGTACCTACTATATACCAAATTCTAGGTGCTGTGGGTATAGATCAAGCCAAAGCCCTTCCCCTGTTGGAACGTATATTCTAGTGAGAAGACAGACAGTGCACACACACCCAGATATGTAATATAGTGTTAGGAAGTGAGGAGTGCTATGGAGGAAAGTAAAGAAGGGTAAGCAAATAGAGAATGATGGCGACTCTCACGCAGAATGTTCAGGGAGGACTTGTGACTTAGAACTGCTTCAGAAGAACAGTGCTGTCATGCTTTGAGACATGACATTGTTAAAGAATGCTTTCTCAATCAATGGTGACTTTGCTATTCAATAAATACGGAAGAAACGTTGATGTTTATATTGAAAATGTTCTTTTTTAAGTTGGACACGTTGTCTCAAGTAGAAGAAGAGTCTCTACTAAGAAACGATCTTCGTCCAGCTAACAAACTTGCTAAAGGAAATAAGTTATTCATGAGATTTGCTACAAAAGGTAAATGTGATACTTGGTATTAATTTTTAGTTTTAGTTTTAATCACAGTCATTTATTTTTGAGTGACATCCTTCTCTTTTGAATAGGAAGTTAGACCAAGTAATCTCAAAGTCCCTTCAAACTATATAATATTCTGTGCCTGTGAAATGCTGGCTTGCTGCCTGAGTTGAATTTCAGACTTTGAAAGTGAATATTAGCTATTTGTATACTTTTGTGATTTTTGCCTAAAGAAAGTTATTTTCTGTTAAAGCTATTTTGCTCTTTGTGCTTTTCAGCCAAATTATCATCTGAACTATGAAAACTTTTTTTACGTTTTTATTTAGTTTTGAGAGAGAAGGAGAGTGAGCAGGGGAGACACAGAGAGAGAGGGCAAGAGAATCCCAAGCAGGCTCCATGCTGTCAATGTAGAGCCCAATGCAGAGCTCGAACTCACGAACCATGAGATCATGACCTGAGCCAAAATCAAGCAGATGCTTAACCGACTGAGCCACCTGGGCGTCCCTGAAAACATTTTTAAATTATAATTTTTAAATTATCACAGAAGTTTCCTCCTGGACATTACTAATAGTACCATTCAGCTCTGATTCTCTAAGGAGTCCAATTAAAAGTCTCTTAAATTTCTTTTTACTGTTTTTATTTGTTTTNACAGCGTGAGCAGGGGAGGGTCAGAGAGAGAGGGAGTCACAGACTGAAACAGGCTCCAGGCTCTAAGCTGGCAGTCAGCACAGAGCCCGACGCGGGGCTCGAATCCAAGATCCGCGAGATCATGACCCAAGCGAAAGTCGGACGCCCGACCGACTAAGCCACCCAGGCGCCCCTGTTTTTGTTTGTTTTTGAGAGAGAGAAGAGAGCAGGCACGTGAGCATGCGTAGGGGAGAGCAGAGAGAGGGAGACAGAGGATCCGAAGTGGGCTATGCAATGACAGCTGAGAGCCTGACGTAGGGCTTGAACTCATCAACCACAAGATCATGACCTGAACCAAAGTCGGATGCTTAACCAACTAAGCCACCCAGGCGCTCCAAGCCTCTTAAGTTTTTTTTTTTTAATTTTTTTAAAAACATATTTTTATTTATTTCTAGGATACAAAGAAAGAGAGACAGCGTGAGCAGGGGAGGGTCAGAGAGAGAGGGAGACACAGACTCTGAAACAGGCTCCAGGCTCCGAGCTGGCAGTCAGCACAGAGCCCGACGCGGGGCTCGAACCCATGAACCGCGAGATCATGACCTAAGTGAAAGTCGGACGCTTAACCGACTAAGCCACCCAGGCGTCCCTTAAGCCTCTTAAGTTTGTAAGGCTCTTTTATGCACGATGATTTTGGTGTACATTAAAATATATGAGTTTTGAATATAGAATACTCTGGTTTGTTTTTCTTGTCTGAGACATATTTTAAGAGTATAGGCTTGGAGTGCCTGGGTGGCTCAGTCAGTTAAGGATCCAACTCTTGATCACACCTTAGGTCTTGATCTCAGGGTCATGAGTTCAAGCCCCATGTTGGGCTCTGCACTGGGCATGGAGCCTAGTTTATTAAAAAAAAAGGAATATAGGCTCATTATTTTATAGATTCTCCCTCAGTTTTGGTTTGTCTAATACCTCCTCCTGATTAGAGTGGGTTGTGCGTGCTGGGCAGGAGTACCACAGAAGTGCTGATGTTATTATTTTCAGTGCATCGTGTCAGGAGGCACATGTTATTTATTGTACCCTTTCTGGAGATGTTAACTTTTCTCACTTGGTTAAGGTAATGATTGCCAGAGTTCTCCTGTTTTTCCATTTGTAAATCTAAAATTTGTGGGGAGGTACTTTGAGATTATGTAAACTGATTTCTGCTCATCATACTTCTAATCAGCAGCCATTGAGGACTTTTTGACTCTACATTTCTTTATGAGTTGGCATTCTGCTGTAAGGAAGAACTTCCTCTTTTTACCCATTAATTTATTTACTCACATCAGTTTAGATTCATGAGTCTTTTTCAGTGGTTTATCATTCACTCGTATCATTTTTTTGATTTACAAATGTTCCTGATTTGGCCAGAGGAGTTCCTTCAAGCTACATTATGTTGACATGCCTCCATGATTCTTTGAGCACTTTCTTCGTGGCCCAGAAAAACATCTTGTTTTTCCAGACTCAGCTTGTACTTTTCCTGTCCCACATCTGGAATCAGCCATTTCTGCAAGGAGCTAGTGGGCATGTCTTTCTAAAGGGTGCACATACTAGCTTGTGCCACTGTTTCCTTGTAGCACTGGATGCCTCGCATTGGCATTCATCCTTTGCAGTCAGTGAGTGCCCCAGGAGCCGTCAGAGACCTTTGTGTTACAAAAATATGTGTGATCACTGCCTACTTTTTCTTTTAACTGGCATTTTACCTTGCTTGACACTAGTGATCTTTTCTGTGTTCATTTGAGTGGCTTATTGGAGTGCATTCAAGATAAATGGTTTTGAGGAACATAACAATAAATTGGAAAAACTAGTTTACAAAAAGGAAACACTGGTTTACCAAACATATGGAATTATGTATAATCTGTTTCTGTAATACTGATTCCGTGTTATTGGTGTTGTCATTTAGAAACAAATATCTTTCAGGGGGCCAGTAAAAATGCTACCTCTTCTAGAAAGCCTTTTACTTTTTGAACAGCTCTAATGACTGAAGGTCTTCTATGCTTCTTGGAGCCTTGTATGTTGTGTTGTTGTTTTTAATAGTATTTTCTTTATGAGGTCAGTCAGCTTAACCTCCTTCCTCTCTGTATTTTGCCCCACCCCCTCGACACTGCAGTGGTTTGTAGGCGCTGAGAGTGAATGTTCATAGTGCATCTTTCTCTTCTGTTGGCAAATTGTGCTGATGTGATCCCAGCTATGGAAGACATTTTTTAAAACCATTCAACATTGTCTTCACACCAATGGGAAATCCTAGGTAACTGTTGTAATTAATTTTTAGATGACAAAAAGGAACTTGGAGCAGCCAGAAGAAGTCAGTATTACATGAAATATGGGAATCCAAATTATGGAGGCATGAAAGGAATTCTAAGTAATTCTTGGTGAGTCCACAACTTTTAAATTCAGTAGTTTAAACAGTACTTAAGGTTTTCTTAATCCTTCAGTAGGTTTTCTGCAATGGAATGTCAATACCATGTGTAGACTTGAAGGAAGACAAGAAGAAAGTCAGGATCCTTAACTGTGGTAAATGGTATGAAAGGCTGAGTTTTAGTTTCATGTAAATGTCTCTGTTTCAGTACCTAACATTTCATCAGTGTATAGTTGAATTTAATTAGTGGATTTCAGGGTCCTTCCTGTTGGTTTTTGATTATGTGCTTGTTTTGTAATGTTGCAGGAAACGAAGGTATCATTCCCGTCGCATTCAGCGGGATGTGATCAAGAAGAGAGCCCTGATTGGGGATGACGTTGGCTTGACGTCCTATAAACACCGACATTCCGGTAGTTGCCTGCTCAGCTCTTGGGTAGACACATGTTTGGCTTCCGAAATCATATTCTTATTCTTAATACAGTCTTTTAAGGTTCCAAACTTTATCATCCTCTCTTCCTTGCCCTCACCCTCTGCCAACATATAGGAAAGTAAGTCAAGTCAGAATTAATTTTAAATTGCCCATACGAAAGAGGTCAAAATGATTTTATAAAAGCTGTTCTAACAACAGGCCAAATGTGACATAGGAAAAAGTGAAAATTTTTTGTAAGAATCTAATTTTTCTACGTATTAATATCAAAAGCTACTTGAAATTTTTTAAAAATATTTTCAGATGACTTGATTTTATTGTTTTTTTGTCTGATGATGAAAATAGGCTGCTGTGTCTGGTGTTTTATGCTTATTGGCTTGTGCACACGGATGCCTCAGTTAAATGAGATATTGTGACTTGGGTTTGATTTTGTTTGTTCGTTTATTCCTTTCTTTCTTTGGTGCTTATTGTAAAACAACCATTTTCGTTATGTTTTATAAAGATTTGTTTTTCTTTTGAATTTAAACTGTGAAGTCTTCTACATGCCTTGTAGAATTAAGTCTGCATATAAACATGGGATAACATGCATACATGTTTATCATTGTGACAGGGACAGTGAGAGGTGAAGTCTATCATTTTTATTTTATGTGTATATCCAAAATTGTATATTTGAAATCTGCATCTGAAAAATGCACATACTTTTCTATTAGACAGTTATAGAACTCTAATTTTAGTTACTCTAAGATATTTTTATAACCTTCATGTATATATTACTAAAGAAATTGAAAAGCAAATTGCCTATAATTCTAGCACTCTAATATAACAACTGATTTCACTTTACGTTTTTCCTATTTGTCTCTTCATAATAAATATAATCGTTGTGAACATATATTTTATAGTCTTCTTCCACTTATAAGCATTTTCCCATGAACTTTGAAGTCAGAATTGACTTTCATTATTCACGGTGGTTATGTGCTATCAAGTCACTGTGACAATTGATACAGTGAATACTAAATCATTCTGAGAGTCTGGTTACTCCATTTTCATCAGCTGATCAATATATAGCCTTGTCTGATGTGTGTTTCTGTTTAAATACATTTAATACATATTGTTGATTCATTAACATTGGGCTCACAGCCAACAGCACTAGAACTCATGCTTGAACAAAGCTTATTTAACACATACTTTCTCTAAAAGGCGTATCACAGCTTTCTTGTGCTTAGAAACACTAGACAGCTTTGGTACTATACTTGAAGGCCATTTTTCAACAATGGAATCATCAACAGAAGCCTCAAAAATATGAAAAACATGGCACTTAATAGTCTGCAAAAAGGACACTTGTTTACAGTATGAGAACTGAAACACAGAGGCAGAGTGTTGCCTTGGTTGACCTCAGCTGGGAATATGCCTGTCTGGTGATTCAGGTTTTTTGCTATTCTGGACATGTCCACAAAGGATCACCAAAGCACTCTGAGTATGGATTTTGGAGTTACAGATGAATTTGGCAGATTTGCAAATACAGAATTCATGAATAACAACAATACACTGTATTGTAGGTAATTTTATAATATCTACCAAGTTGCTAGATCATACTTTATCTTGCCATTCTTCTGTTGTAGGTAGCAGAATGGCACCTAGATTGGCACTAATACAGATAATGCTCCAGTAAGATTTCAGGTGTGGGATCCCCACCTTTTAAAAAAGGTCACCAGTGTAGAGTAGAAAATCAGATTTGTTAGTTTTAGTACTTTTTCTAATGTTTTTTGGTTAAATTTCTTAGGACTAGTAAATGTTCCGGAGGAACCCATTGAAGAGGAGGAAGAGGAGGAGGAGGAAGAGGAAGACCAAGACATGGATGCAGATGACAGAGTGGTGGTTGAGTACCATGAGGAGCTTCCAGCTCTCAAGCAGACCCGGGAGCGGAGCACATCTAGGCAGTCCAGTGCCAGCAGTTCAGATTCTGATGAAATGGACTATGATCTGGAACTGAAAATGATTTCCACTCCTTCACCAAAGAAAAGCATGAAAATGACCATGTATGCTGATGAAGTGGAATCTCAGTTGAAAAATATTAGGTAAACTGTTTTTTCTTTTTATCAATGTAGCTTTTAATTTGATTTTTTTTTAGTTAAAATTTTTTTCTTCAGGTGTATGTTTCTTTTTGAGACAGAGAGAAGAAGGGGCAGAGAGAGAGGGAGACAGAGGATCTGAGACAGGTTCTGCATGCACTGACAGCACAGAGACCAGTGCGGGGCTCAAACTCATAAACCGGAAGATCATGACCTGAGCCGAAGTCAGACACCCAGCTGACTGAGCCACCTGCTTTTAATTTAATTTTAAATAATAATTCCTTAACTTCCTCTTAGCGTCTCTTAATTTTATAATCACCTTTATCTGTTCTAATTTCAGTCTTATGAGGAATTTGAATAAAAGCATCCAGTTTTTTCTTTAAATACACAAGTTTTTTCTTTAAATACAAAAAAGTGATCCTTTTTATAAAAATGTTAGTATATTAAGTGAAAGTCACCCATAATTTCAGTGTCTTCTAAAATAATGACTTAGCAATTGAGTGAATAACTTTCAAGTTAATTTTATGTATATATGTATAACACGTGGAGAAATTATAGGTAATTTCTTCAAAAATGAATTGTATTTATATTGTTTTATAGTGTGCTTTTTCTGTTTCATATATTATGTATAGATTATTGCTATTTTTTTCCCCCAGATGTAGTTCATTGTTTGAAAGTATCATGATATATTTAACCAGTCCCTCATTGATGGACATTTAGGTTTCTATTTTATTATTGTTGCACTAATTAAATTTCTTGAATTCCAGTTATTGCACAAAACAGTATATATGTTTAAAAATGTGGTGTTGCTAAGTTTCTTTCCAGAAGGGTTTTACTCAGTTTATAACCTATTATATACTTACCAAACCTATCACTCTTTCTAGTTTTTGCTAATTTTTTGGACCAAAAAAAAGTTATTTTAATGTGTATTTCTTTGATGACTAGTGGGGATGAGCAGAGTCCTGACGGCAGATGCACAGCTCAAAGGGTTGGGGTCTACAGTTGCTCTCCCTAAGTGCTCTTGTTGGTATATTTGGGGAAAGGAAAAACAGTTCAATCTGGTTTGTTTGTATGGCTTTGTTCACATCCTTATTTTTAGTTTTCATAGAACTTTCCAGTGTTGAATGCTGTCAGAATCATGCTGGTGCCTAGCTTGGTAGCAGATGTCTTTGACAGAGGAGTCTGCCCTTTAAAGAAAGAGATTATAGATTATTTTGTATCTTGACTACTGGTGATCACAGCCTGGGTGAACACAGGTCCCTGAGGCCTCTGCAGGCCTTACTTAATGTTTGTCTCAGAAGGGAGGGAACTCGTAATTACGCATTCTGTGATAGTTTACAGGTATCATTTGTGGAAACCACCTTGATAAACTTAGGAACCTATTTCCCCTGACTGGTCTCTTTATAGCAGGCTGATCATGATTTTTATAAGCAAATAATTATTGGTGTATGGTTTTTGTGAGTGAATGTTTAGATTATTAGATTGGGCATCTTACATTATTTTCTCCACAAAGTGTATGAGATTGTTGCGTAGGTATTGTCCCACAGTTGGAGTTGGTTAATTGTGCCTTTTTTTTTTTTTTAAAAGAAACTCCATGAGGGCAGATACTGTATCCACAAGCAATATCAAAAACCGAATTGGTAACAAGTTACCGACTGAGAAATTTGTAGATGTCCGACATCTGTTAGATGAAAAACGTCAGCACACACGTCCACGGACAGCAGGCAGCAATACTAAATCAGGTAGTATTCATTTGCATTTTTCAGCTTCATTCCGAACTCCAGAAAGCGAATCTAGGCAGACATAGGTCTTTAATTAAAACATTGCCATTAATGAACTGATTTAGTTGTCCTGCTTCATCACTTCTAAATTTTTGGTTAGGCATTGGAACTTTAAGACATGGAAAATAATCATACTTTTGCGATACCGGCTTTTAGTATTTTTGTCCCAAACAATTGTGTTATTCTATATGTCATTGATATACTTTATACATAAGGAAAATAGAAATTAAGTTGGATTGTTGTTTGATGGTTAAGAATTTGAACTAGATAGTATGTATGTACAAATACACATAGAGTGGGTATTTGGGCATGCCTGCTGTGTGCCAGGCCCTGGGTTGGGTTCTGGGAGTGTTAGACTCTTTGGAGGGTCTGCCGAGTCATCATAGAACTCAGATGGAGTAACACGAGTACGCAAGTTCAGGTAATTCCACCCCAAAGTACAATGTAAGTAAGTGCTCTCATAGGTCTGTAAGCAGGAGGCAGTGGGCATGCAGAAGAGGTAGGTCTACTGAGGGAAGGCTTCTCAGAGAAAGCAGCTTTAGCACAAGGCCTTGAGGGGGTGTGTGCGGGGGATCTTAGTTGGCAAACCTAATTTTTTGAGGTGGGAAGTATAAGATCTTATGTCTATTTTGAAAAGATAATTTTGTGGCGAGGTGGGGTAGGGTACAGATTTAAGTAAGTAACAAGGACCTGAACTAGATCAGGGAAAGTGGAGATGGAATGGACGAAAACATAAGACCTTGTGAAGGAAGAAGCCTCAGTATTGGGAAGAAGGGAACAAAGGGAAAGGAGCCAAAGGACTCAGGCCTGAGGAACCAGAGGGTTGAGAATGTGCTGCTCTCTGAGACAATAAGCAAGATGGGTAAAAACCCCAATGACGTACTAATAAACCTGTTGTTGCTGCTGCTGCTACATATTGTTAGAGGGAACTCAAGAGGACAGATTTCAGGAGGGATTGGAGGCAGGAGAAGCAAACTTGATATGGAATGTCCCCTTGATCCTTTGGCTTTTACACATCTCGTTACAACTATTGTTAAATGTAATCAGTGTATTAAGAATTCCTTATATGTTCAAAGACTGTGGCTTCTGCCCTCAGTGGGCTTATAGTATTGTTAGCTGAAATGTTTGGAAATTCTTGGGTATGCTTGCTTCTACTAAAGAAAACAAACAAACCCCAAAACACAAAACAGCTGATTCTGCCTCAGAAATTCCTCTCTGGAACAGTCAGCTGAGAGGCCTTTTTTCCACTGAAAGCCTCTATGTCTGCTCTTTCTTAGGGGAATCCAGACTGATCACATAGAAGAATTTTAGGAGCTTGACTTTGTCAGGCCCTTTGTCCTCATTTGGGGAGATTTGGCACTAGGTCCTGTAGGGATCTCAGGTTGACAGTATGGATAGCAAAGCACACAAGCTTGGCCACAATAATACTTTTTTTTTTTCTTTTTCTAGATATACGCCAGCGGTTAGGAAAAAGACCATATTCTCCAGAAAAGGCTTTTAGCGGTAACCCAGTCTTTCGGAGAGAGCCTTTTTCTGATGTACATAGTAGGCTGGGTGTTCCCAAGCAAGATATTAAAGGCCTCTATTCTGATACTCGGGAGAAGAAATCAGGTTGGTAACACTTAAAATTGAAGGGGATAGGAATTGGGTAAGAGCAAACTAAGCATAGCAATACTTTGTTGGTCGAGGGCAGAAAATAGCATATGTCAAAATTAAATTATTTTTCCTCTTCCATTATAATCATTGACATAATTGTAATAGTAACAGCATAGAAAATTTAGAAAATAGGAAAATAGCAAAACCAGACTTGGTTCTTTCTGTTTAGCACAAATACTTTTTAGTCTTGGTCCATATACATATCTTGCTTTTTTCATACAGTATTTTATTGAGATCATTTTTCCACACTGTTAAATTCTTTTTTTAAAAAAAATATTTTTAATGTTTATTTATTTTTGAGAGAGAGAGAGAGAGAAAGGAAGCAGAGGAGGGGCAGGGAGCAGACAGAGGATCTGAAGCAGGTTCTGTGATGACAGTAGAGAGCCCTATGCAGGGCTCAAACTCATGAACTTTGAGATCATGACCTGAGCCGAAGTCAGAGGCCTAACTGACTGAACCCCCCAGGTGCCCCACGTGCCGTTAAATCCTTCAGAAATAAAATATTTAATTGCCTTATAGTATGTTATGGAATTCTAAACACATATTTTTCTATTGTGAGATAGTAACAAAGTATATTTTAAAAATGAGTGGATATTGAGCCAAATCTCTGAAAGTTTACAGTGTAGCAGGCCCTTCACTTTGCAGAATTTATAGCTGGGAATGGTCTGGGAATGGCCCACTCCTGGCAGAATGAAGTTCTACACAGAATGGGGAGTCTCACCAGGGATGGGCAGGTAAAGCATAAGTAGCCTCTCAAGTGATTCTGATAGGCACGGGAGGCACATGTCCTCTAGCTGCGAGAGTCTCCCATTGGGTCCAGATCCCTCAGTTTGTAGGCAGGGGACTACAGCCAGGGGAATGAGGTTATACCTTCCCAACACTGCACAAAGGTACAAGAGCCACAAACCCCTCTCCAGTGTTTCTCGCACACCAGGTTGTTGGCAGTGCCCCTGCTCCTCAGTATCGACTGCCAGAACTGAAATGCCTTCTCATCCAAACAGGTAGTTTATGGACTCGCTTAGGATCTGCACCCAAGACCAAAGAAAAGAACACGAAGAAGGTGGATCACAGAGCACCAGGCACTGAGGAAGACGACTCTGAGCTGCAAAGGGCATGGGGGGCTCTGATAAAGGAGAAAGAACAGTCTCGCCAAAAGAAGAGCCGGTTAGATAACTTACCATCTCTCCAGATTGAAGTTAGTCGGGAAAGCAGCTCTGGTTCAGAGGCAGAGTCCTGATGCCCTTGGGGCCAATGGCAGCTGCCCTAAAGTCTGACATTCTCGTTGCAGGGTGGGGTGCACAGTAGGAAACTCTCCCCCTCCCCCTGCAGGAATTGGCGCCCCTCCTGCTCTCACACAGTCACCCTCAGCTCTTGCTTCTTCAGCAAGACATATTAAGAATGTGACATGTTTTGAAGGGCATCTATCTTTTGCTGCAGAGTTAGAGTTCTGGGCCCTCATTTCTTTTCCCACTACCCCACAAGCTTTATCCTTTGAGGAAAAGGCAGCCCTCCAGATTTTGTAGAGGTTTTTCTTAATATTTTTAACATTGTGTCTTTTAAAGAAATGTTTTACACAGTTCATCCAAAGAGCAGAGAACTGAACTTCTCACTGTTGCCTTGGCCCTGACAGCTGTTACCAGCACCCTTTTCCCAAGAAAAGTCAATTCCCAGGTGCTTATTGGACAGCCTTCGAGGGGGAAGATGAGGGAAGCGGCCAGCTCACCCTTCCAGGACCCTAGTGTCGGGGCTGAATCTCATGGACCTGACCGCAGAGGTGCACCGGTGCCGCCCAGGTAGATGAGAGATGCAGCGTCGATCGTGCTTCCGTTCTTCCCTGGGGATTTCTGTTAGGGGCCGCTTCGTAGCAGTCAGCTTGAAGTGAAAATCAAGTTCAGTCCTGTGGGATTTTTAGGAACAAAAACCTGTGACTTCTGGATTTGGGGTGGACTTTTGTGCTAGGGGTGGGGTCATGGGTTAATGTTGAACAATTTTTAAGTCTGTATTATGTTTAAAAATATTAATGATTTAAAAGTTAAAATTTTTAATTTTTATATGTGAAAATACTTCCTATTGGCTACAAGGGAAGCTCAAGTGGTGTCTTATGTGTGCTGTTAAATATATATTATATACTTTGGAAGAAGGCAAAGAGAGGAGTCTCATTATTTTTAAATGATCCTAATTGTATAGTCTGTCTGTTGTATATAGATTTCAACTTGCTTTTTGGCCACTGTAGGGGGAAAAAATCCATCCATCAGAGATGGGGTCCTGTTGTTTATTATCACTTCAGAAGTGATACATTGGTATTTATTCTTTCTATCTCCAAGTTCTGGCACCTGAAGTTATCTTTAAAATTGGCTAGTAAGTAATAGTTATAGAAATTTTAGTTTATTTCTTGTTTATTTCTAAACTCCCTTCAGATTACTTTAAAGGCCGATTTTTTTGTCTTCCTGTTGGATCTCTGTCTTGAAGTATTTAATGTTTATATTTCTTTGCAGGCTTAAAAATAGTGTTTCATTTCAATTCACTAGAACTTCGGAGTTAGTGATTGTAAGCCTCTGTCCCTTTGTGATATCACAGCTCCTCATCTGTCTGGAGTGTTTCAGTACCTAGTGTGGCCCTGGATTCTAGAGATCTTTACTTGTGGCTGAGCTAATGGCCGCATGGATGGTTGGTTACAGTGTGGTGGGATTGAGTGCAGAATGGTGTTGGAAGTAAATAAGGAAGTAAAGGGCTGCGGGACTTGAGAGCTGCAACAGTTGTTCTGTACCATGTTTTGTTAGTTAACCTGCTTTTTTCCCTCCTTGTAGAAAGATCAGAGCCTATAACTACTGTATGTTTCCATTTCCTGATAGGATTCTGGGAAAGAGATGGTTCTCTGCTGGCTGAGACCTAACATTTCTGAAGTTTCTCAGCTACTTTGGTCCTGTGGAGCACACAGCTGAGAGCCAGGTTCTTAACAAGGGGCAAGGTTTAGGGGGCTGATAGAGTGAGAAGGACGAGGACCTGAGTCAGAGACCTGGATGCCAACCCCTGGTTCTGTTCTGAGGGCCTGGGCCTCAGTTTTCCTGTCTGGCAAATGAATGGCCTGGTACCACAGCTTCTGACTTTGTTGGTGCGTCTCAGTGGTGTTTTTACTCTTCCTGAGGCAATGATTGTGGTGAGCTGGCCAGAACGGGTTTCTGTTATAGGTATGGGGAAGGTCAGAGACAGCTTAGGGTGTCCATGAGGTTGTAGACAAGGATTCACCCCCACCCCACTCCCATTACAGCCTGTAGGTCTTCTAGTGGGACAAAGAGGTTCTACTGATGTCTCAGCCGTGTTCGAGAAATGCCCTTCTTTATACTTGCGTGTTTCCCAGTCCTGACCTTTTCCACCAGTAGTCCAGGCCCATCTCTCCCATGGCATTATAGCCTCTGCCAGTCTTCTTTTAGGGATCAGGGAAGGCTTCCTGGAAGGCTGGTGGTGTTGTGTAGTCAAAACCGGGCCTTTGATCTAATCAAGAAAAATGTCCACTTGAGCTGCCTTGTAGTTCTTACAAATACAAAGAACCTGAAAAGTTTCTTTAAAGATTTTATTTCCCCAAGTTGGTGTTCGTTGCCTCCTCTCTCACTCTCTGACCTACACTCAGGTACTCAGATCTTGAAGCATCTTACACATGCCCTGAATGCCCAGGCCCTCTCTTTGGAGTTTGGGAGTGGAGATGGACCGCTGGGATGGGCCCCTAATGGCAGCTCAGCAGGCCTGGGTGCTCCTTATGCGTGTGGGCAGGAGAGCTACACACTTTTCTGTATTCGTCTTAGTCTTTACACATGAGATTTCAAATACGTTTTTGCTGCTTGATAGTAATTGCAGATACCTCATTTCTGTGTCTCTAGTCTCCCTCTTGGGAGACACACCAGCTACCCAGGAGAATTTGTGGAGCCTGTGACGAGCGCTCCTCTGGCCTTCTCTTGTCTGGTCCCATGAAACCCTCCCCTTAGTTCAGTCACTGTCTTCTCCTGCTGCATTGCTATGGCAGCCTCTTCCCTGGTCTCTGCCCCATAGCCTGTCCCTCCCTCTCTGTTATGTGCACTGCAGCTGGGATCAACTCTCGTTGTTTTTTGCAGCTTTACTGAGATATTATTTACGTAGCATACAGTTCACTCCTTTATAGTATACACTTCAGTGGCGCCTGGCTGGCTCATTCGGTAGACAATGTGACTTTGATCTTGGGGTTGTGAGTTCGAGCCCCATGTTGGATGTAGAGGTTACTTAAAAATAAGTATCTTTAAAAAAATAGTATACACTTCAGTGGCTTTTAGTGTATTCACAGAATTGTGCAACCATTACCATAGTCATTTTTGGAATATTTTCATCACCAAAAAGAAACCCTGTCCTCATTAGCAGTCACTGTCCAGTCCCTCTTCCCACCCTGGCAACCATTACTTTCTGTCTCTATGGATTTGCCTATTCTGAACATTCATATAAATGGAATCATACACTTTGTGGTGTATTTGTGATTAGCTTCTTTCACTGAACATATTTTCGAGGATCATGTTGTAGCATGTGTCTGTACTTCTTTTTATTAAGGAATAATATTCCATTGTATGCACAGTACATTTTATTTATCCATTCATCAGTTGATGGACATGTGAGTTATTTCCACTGGGGGCTGATATGACTAATGCTGCTATGGAACATTTATGTACAAGTTTTTACGTGGTCATGTGTTCATTACTCTTGGGTTATATACCTAGGGGTAGAGTTGCTGGGTCATGTGGTAACTCTTTCTTAACCTTTTGAGGAACTGCCAGACTGTTTTCCCAAGTGGCTCCATCATTTTCCATTTTCCCCATTAGTGTATAAAGGTTCCATTTTTTCCACATCCTCATCGACACTTGTTATTTGCAGTGTGAAGTGGTATCTCATTGTGGTTTCGATTTGCGTTTCCCTGATGACTGATGATGTTGGGCATCTTTTCATGTACTTCAGAATGAACTTTCTTAAAATGATTCCTGTTATTTTCACTATTGCCCTTGGAATAAATTCCAAACTCCTGTGATAGCTCACAGGGTTTGTCAAAATCTAGCTTCTGGTATCTTTGGCCTGTTCTCCTCATCCTCCCCTTCCGTGTGCCCACTAGTTCCTTGGACTCCTCTTGATCTCATCAGCCTTTCAAACTCTACTTGGTGCGGTTCTTCTCCAGCAGTGACACACTCCCCTGGACCTTTCTTCCTCCCACCTGAGCCTTGCCTTCTCTTTTCCTCATCCTCGAGGAGTTAGAGACCCCTCCAGGAGGCTACCTCCAACTTCCAGAGCCAGGTTATGAGTCCCTGCTATGTATCCCACAGTACTGCCTTGAATGAGACTTGGCTCATTCCAGGATTGGGTTATACAGTCACACCTAAGATAAAAATGGAGTGTAATCAAAATTCTTCTTGGAAACCCTGAGGAAGGTGCCATGTTGAAAACCAGCATTGCAAGAGCCAGCACAGTTGGTTCCTTCCCTGTAGGAACCCATCATAGTTTCTTTGGTTGAGTTCCAGGTAAAATGGTTGGCCTGCAATAGGGCCATATTGTGCAAAAAAAACCCCACATATTTTTAGGTGTTAGACTCACACTTAGGCAAGCAGCTCACTCCTGAAGGGCATCTTGGAAACCGTAACAGGTCACAGGAGCAGCAAGGGCACGAGCTTGCCGTAGGCCCTCCAGCATGTCTGGTCAGTGAGTAGAGGGGCAGGTGAAATGGCCCAAATGACTTAACTTGGTTTTCCTTCTTCCTTGTCTTTTCTTTTTTTAACTTTTTCAGAAAAATATACCATTGGGTTTGCCTAAGTGAAATGTGTGTATGATGCCAAATCTCTGTATCTGCCTTCCCGAGCCAGCACACCTTTATGCTGAATTGTAATACCCTGATCCTACTTTGTCTTTTTTGCTAGATTGTAAGCTCTGTGAGAGCAGAGACCACGTGTGGGTTATTCATGGGGGTTCTCCGGTCTTAGAACATGTCTGACACCTGGCAGGTCGTCCAGAAACATGTGGTGACAAATGTATAAATGCCTCAGCTGCAGAAACAGCTCCAGTTTCTGAGGCCCTCCAGTTTCTGAGGTCCTATTACAGGCTAGTCCTTGTTTTGTTGCCTTGTACACACAATACTTGATGTTCATGTGTTATTTTCCGTGTTAGCCTGTAAGCTCCTAATGAGCAGGTGTCTTCATATTGTTATCTCTGTGTCCTCCCGCCATGCCACTTCAGAGCAAGTAGTACTTACAAAGTGCTTGGTAAATGAGTGAATTGTGGTAACAGCCAGCTCTGGCTCCTTTGTCTGCAAGCTGGTTGAATTCTAGCTGAGACTACCAGATTCAAAAAGAGGAAGATTATTCAGAAAGGCATAAAGTGTACTTGTATAAGGAACAAAACCTTATTAATTAGATCTCCATAAAATTCAAATTTTCATCATCTGGCCATATCTGAGCTGAAGCTTACCTGTTAGAGAATCATGTAGGGTATTTTTTAGAAAGCATTCATCTGCCCCAGGAGAGCAGAAAAGGAAGCTGGCAGGTAGATGAGAGGCCCCCAAGAAGGGTTGCTGAGCCAGGTCTTAGGTGGGTCCTGTCTGAGAGGAAAGTGACGTCAGTCGAAAGAAGGTAAAGAGAAACCCATTTTTGGGCAGCAGCTCTTCTTCCACCTCTCATTTGAGGCTTTCTGAAAGTTGTGCTGAAATGCTAGCGGGCAGTTTGGATTCACAGTAACAGCAGAATGTGGCCTCACAGATCAATACATTGCTGCACAAATAAATTTGGTGTATAAGTAGTTGCTTTTAAACTTTATATAACAGGAAGCAAATGAGAAATTAAACCATTTTTTTCCTTTAAGAACTAAAAGTACAGACTTTTTGATAATTTTGAGAATATCACACTTGCCTCAAAGCAGATTGTTATTACATAATCTGACCACAAAAATCCAGAACTTTTCTTACATGTTTATTAAATAAATCTTAGAAGAAAAAGATATGGTAGCGTTTTTTAAAAATGACATTCTATGAACATTCGACAGGACTCTGATATTCCTGGGAACAATTAGGGAAATGCTGGCTCAAAAGCCCATTTCGGATTGTGAGCACTGAAGTGGGACTTTGCTGTGCTATAAATAAAACTCTAGCGTATGGGTGGTGTTAACCTGCCAAAATCAATAACCTGCCGTAGGCTTCTTACCTGCTTTTGTTTGATCAATTCTAGAGCCCCTCTTTGCATGCCCAGATTCTTCAGTAGCTGAAACTTTGTGTTCTCTCCAGTTGTCTGTCACCCTCATGCCAGGCTGGTATAGGTTAGTGAAGGCAGGAGGTCCATACCATTGGCAGGAGAGGAGACATGTGCTTTCTGTTCCTTCCTGGGGTTTTGTGTGTTTAATGGTGTGAAGCATCCCCTCTTGTCATTGGCAAGGATTACTCAGAAGGCCTATGAGCAGGAGGCAGCACTTTTAGCTCAAGTAAAGTGTCTTTTGGGGAGGGTCAAATAGAGTGCCTGAGGCTGGCCCTGAAGCCCTGGGGACTCATTTTGTCTCCCATACAAAGTGGAAAAGACTGAACAAATCCCTTTATCTCTCTGGATCTCAGTTTCTCTGTCTTTCAGATGAAGGGCTCAACTGGGATGGGCTCCAGGTTTCCTTCAGATGCTAATGTGAGTTCTCTGATCTTTGCTATACTTTTCCAAAGACCATTAGGAACCTAAGGTGAACAGGAAGGAGTTAGGGGGCCAAGCCCCTTGGACCCTTGGTCTATAAACCAGCCCCTCAGGGAGAACCAAGAGGATCCTCTCCCATGCTCCCTCCCTACTAAGCCCACCTTCCCCAAAACACACACACACACACACACATACACGCGCGCGCGCACACACATCATTCGGTGTTTTATTTGCTTTTTTTTAGGAGGTAGTCCACTGTATTAGCTTGGGCTGCCATAACAAAATACCATAGACTGAGTGGCTGAAACAATTGAAATTTATTTTCTCACAGCCTAGAGGCTGAAAGGCCAAGATCAGGATGCTAGCATAGTCAGGTTCTGGTGAGGTCTCTCTTCTCGGCTTGTAGGCAGGCATCTTATGGTCTCCTCCTCGCATGGCCTTTCCTTGGTACGTGCACATGGAGGGAGAGGTCTCATCCTTTTCTAAGGCCACTGAGCTTATTGATTAAGGCCCTACCGTTATGGCCTTATTTATCTCCTTTAGGATCTTTAGGTTCTATCTCCAAGGCTTCAACAGGAATTTGGCAGCCGGGAGGTGGGTGGTACACAACTTAGTCTGTGACACCCAGTAATGCAGAAAACTCAGTATTATGTTTGCGAAATGAGTTCTCTGCTTTTAACAGCTCACGAACTGGGAGGGCTTTAGACCTATGGGTGTGAGGTTAGTATGGTTGTAGTGGTGCAGAGTCCTTGCTCTGGAGGAGATGTACCGGTCTTGAGTTCCAACTCTGCCACTTACTAGCCAAATGGCCTTGGGCAAGTTACTTAACCTCTCTCTGATCCAGCATCCTCATCTGGGAAATCAGGATAACCAAGTAGGGTGGCTGCTAGGATAAGAGGAGAGCTTTGCATGGAAGGCCCTTGGCATTGAGTCTGGTACTCCCTCCTTAGCGCTCAAGCGGTAGTGATTGCTACTGCCGTTCAGACTTCCCCTCGCTCCCCTTTGCCAGCTCTGTCCTCCACTGCAGTCCTGTCTCAGTAAGTCCTCACTCTTCCAGATTCCCTCTTTCCAGCTTCCCAGGACTCCAAAGACCATGGGTAGTTAGAAATCTGCACCTAGAGGCTGTGAGGCAGGACTGTGGGAACTGCCCCGCATCCACTGGTGAGTGCAGACATCAAGAGCTTTTGACTCACTTGAGACAGAGCAGTTAGTCCTTTTACCTCATGTTAAACAGGTCTTCTCTGTCCTCTTAACTTTTAAGAGTTTATTTTGGGGGCGCCTGGGTGGCTCAGTTGGTTAAGCATCCAACTTCAGCTTAGGTCATGATCTCACGGTTCGTGGGTTAGAGCCCCGCATCAGGCTCTGTGCTGACAGCAAGCTTGGAGCCTGGAGCCTGCTTCAGATTTTGTATTTCCTCTCTCTCTGACCCTCCCCTGCTCACGCTGTCTCTCTCTCTCTCTCTCAGAAATAAATAAAACATTAAAAAAAAGTTAATTTTGAAATTTCAAAATTGCAGAAAAGTTTTGGAGGTATGACAAAAAATATTTTGCCATATCATTCATTCTTTCCCTCCTTCCC